TGATTTACCTACTTAAAGACATAAAACATATTGCTATGCTATATACTACACCTACGCTGAACGGTCATAATCCAGTAATTAAATATGTCCGAAACCAACGACACACAAGTCTAAAATTCATTTCTCAAAACAGATAAAAAAGAGGGCCTCGTTGGCCGAATGGTCGCAAGTGCGACTGCCGGGGTCTCGGGTTCAATTCCCGGGTTCGGCAAAGTATTACTGGGTTTTTAAAAAATTCTCAGTAGTAGCACGTAGTCCGGAACCGGAATTGTTCCCGGTACATGGCAATAGGCTCACCCCCTATTACATGGGACTCATAACATAAATAATGAAAAGTGGGTGTTACATTGTACAGTGGCATAATGTGCACCTCTGCCTACTCCTTCGGGGATAAAAGGCGTGATGTTATGTTATAAAAAAGAGTGCTAGTGGTCAGAAGAGAAACATAGTGTTCATGCTGTTTGTAAACCGTTAGCCAAAGCAATTATATATAGCGCCATCTCTTAGTGGTAGTTCGAACTATTTACGATATGACTGACTTTCCATGCATAACTTCACACCTTTTTTCCAAGGAATAGGTAGAGGTATACCTATTAAAAATAACAACACACAACTGATTTCTCTTAATTCGTCAATCCCATGTCGTAAGGGATGAGTGTGCTGCCACACATTGAGCAGGTTTCTAAATTTTAGAAAAATCAAGAAATTAAACTTAGATTGACCCAAGAGTCATATTATTTATTGACAGTTCTGCTAGCATCCACTCGACCAATGAATGAACTCGGTCAATCGTCAAGTCTACACAGTATTCAAATTCCAATAAAATACATATTTTTCAGACCGGACTAAAAAGTTTTTATGCCTGGGGAGTCTTTAAGTGATCATAAGAGAAATTTTATGTTCATGCGTTTGTTGTGTAACCGACGTCGATGTGTAAAATATTAGCCCAAGGTATTTTATATAGCGCCATCTTTTGGTATTCGTTTAAGCTATTAACGATGTCACAGTGACTTTACCATGAATAACATCACACCTTATATACCTCGGAACGATGGGTAGAGATGGACTTTACCCTAATAATTGTAGAAAGTAAGTATTAATCTAATGCAGGTGCAGAGAAAGAGGTTGGATACTGCCATATAATACCGAACGCAATTCCAAACTCTGACTTACTTTTGAGAATTTCGAGAAAACCACATGATATGATAATACTTTGACCAACCGCAGCCCGAGATCAAGTATCAACGGCTTTATCTGCAATTCGAGCGCGACGGTCAGTTTTGAAAATCGGGAAGATTGTGGCTTTAGCAAATTAGATTAGATCAAAAACTGTTCTGGCGATTTCAAAAGCTCGTGAGACATGAGGATGAGGGTGCGAGCGACAGCAACTCTTATGCAAACTGGTAGGACGATGCAAAATTTGTCTAGCACCATCTCTTGGAATAAGTCCGAAGTTCTTACGATGTGTGGTTTATTATTCGCTCACATAGTGCCCTCTTATAGCGTCGGTTAATTACTTGTATATGCCAGTACCGCCCTCTGTTGGTAGTAGTGTAGTGTAATAGTAATAATAAATTTTAGTGACATGCACATCCTGCTCTCTGTTGATATTTAAGTGCACTATCTATCTACATGCTAATTGATGGAGTACGTAATTCATCTATTCACCAGCAGAGGATGTTAAGTGCAGATAGATGTATGTCGGAATACTCAAACGCTTATTAAGTTTTAAGTCGTGCTTAAGTATAGTTCTGTCTCTACAACTTTTTCGTAAAATGACAAAGATGGCACGATATTTAAGCACGACTTAAAATTGAGTAACGTTTCAGTATTCCGACAGTAGCTCATCTACTTGACCACAGAGGACATTACGTGTAGGTAGATGTAAGTCATCTATTCACGACCATTTTTTTAGCGAAAGAAAATCATCTAATCGCCTGGTTGAAAGCGGCGGGCGGCTGGGCGGAAAGGAGTGTCAGACTCTTAGTGAAAAAAACCACCTCGTTCCTACTTCTGCACTTCGAGCTGGAGCCCCGGTAACCCGTTAGGTTCTCCGCGGCTCCGAATCGACATCAGTCCTATTGGGCCCCATCCCTGGTGGTCTGATGGCTCTTTGATGCGCGAGCGGAACGCGACGCGCCGTACGCTCGGGTCTGGTTCTGGTCGGACGGGGAGCCACCCATGCTCGCCGTGTATTCACATTTTCCAAGGAACATAAGGCCACATTAATAAAAACACAATTTTATTATGTTGTTCATACATTTAATTATCATAATCTACAACATTTATTGAAAAAAATCAGTCACATAGGTTACACAGTTCATTAGTGACTTATGAAACTACGCTACATACATTTATGCATTTATTTCAGTCGCAATTTGAGCGTACTTATTTGACATTATTAAAAAAATATTTATTACACCATAATACATATTTAACATACATAATATAGACCTGAATACTAATCCTATAATATTGACATAGGTAACCTTGTGAGATTCTTTGGTTCTGCGTGCTACATAGGGTTTTGTGTAGTTTAAGTGACAATCATCATCAACAGCCTGTTTTCGTCAACTGCTGGACATAAGCCTCTCAAATGACAAGCCACTGAGCTCGATCTTCAGCTCTACGCATCCAACCACTACCAGCCACTTTACGTATATCGTCACTCCACCCAGCTGGAGGGCGCCCTACACTACGTTTGCCTAGACGCGAATCTGTGCTATGGGCTCCTGGCCTTTCTGTCAGATATGGACTAAAATTAATTAAAATTACAAAAGAAAAACAAACATACAAAATTAATAATAAAATTACAAAAAGAAAAAAAAATAAAAATAAAATAATGATACTTAAATGCAAATAATATCACGCATATTATTCCTAAAAGGAGACGGCAGGTGTACCTGCTCATAACATAAGTTCTACTTTCCACCATCACGAATCTCGTAAACACATACATACATTTAAAAAAAAAAAAAAAAAAGTAACCATGCAGTATGTATACTTAATTGTTTTTATATACCAGATATAATATTAGATACTTCGACAACATTAACTACGACAACTATTAGATCGAAAATTAGATATATTTCGGAAGACTTACCTACTCCGAATAATTACCTACTATTAGGACTACAGCGTCTTATTCACGAAATATTTTTGCTACAATACTCAGAAAAGTAGGTATATGCTATGACTAGGTTGAGTACATTAAAAATATCAGTTATGGTTTCAATCGTAGTAGGTACAATTACTTATGTTTTATATAGATTATTATGTTTCATTTTGGCATTAACTACAGACTATAGATTGTATTACACATCAAAATGTTTGGCCCAAGAAACCTTGTGGCCCTACCCCGAAAATTCCATTGAATAAAATACTTACATACTTACTTACATCTATAATTAGGAATGTGTTGTGTAGAGGCCATAGCAGGCCATAGAGATACTTAAAAATATACAAAGATTGAATAAAATTTAAATGGGTTATATAAAATACTGAGGTTTGTGCCCGTCTTCTACCAAGAGAAAAAACATTAGTTTACTACTTACTAACATTAATATTATAGTCAATTAGTTTTGAAAGCTCAAATACCTATTATTTATTAGTTTAGACAAACATAGTTCAAAATTGTACTATGTCTACTAGACATTATATGTACCATTGAGACAAAATGTCCTTTTAAAGGTATGAACCCTATTCGATCAAATATTGGTATACATACGAAACTTACACATTATAAGAGACTAAAAACAGTATTAGGATACAAATAATGATTCCATGCAGGAATAAAATCCACTACAAGTTAAAAAAAATAGATTACGTAGAATATACTTGAGATCATTATCGTTATGGCATCAATATCTAATACATAGGTACGGTTACAGTTCATACTAAATCTAGAAAACAAAATAATATATGGCAATGGATATGAGGAAAAATACCGATAAACTAGTAATAATTATACAAAAAACTTACATGACCCTTTTGTTGATTTCGATTCTAATATGACTTATCGTGACAAGCATTATCAATGAAACCCTATCGGTAACCATATTAAAACGATGTATCTATTCAGCACACAGTCATGTTGAATCGCAAATGCTAATTCCAGGACAGATGCCGCAGTCAGATAGACATTTTTCTGAATTTTAATTATAAATACATAACTTTTGTCTGGTTTTTTCGTTGTTAATTAACTTATTTGACTGCTGTGAAGCTTAAACTCATGGACAAGTGATTTCGTGGCGATTTCATCATTACTTGATTCTTTATAGAAAATGGCATGTATAAAAAAAATATTTGCTCTGTTTTCGATAGAGGATGGGTGCCCGAATAAATAAATGGAAACATATTGAAACAAACAGTGTTGCCCTGTGTAACATCGAACTGGAGAGAAAAAGCTTGGTAGCAGCTTTAAACAAAAAAAGGATAGAAGCAATTAAAATAATTAATCAAATAGCCAGAACACAATGGAATAGGTGGCTTTACTAAAAATGTATACTGCTTCTAAGTGATAAAATAGGATGATTTACAAAAAAAACCCCATATGATTTATATTACAATCAATTTAGTAAAATAATAGACTAAGGACCAGTGTTATAATACAGTTTGTATGCTAGTCTATAAGGAGCTATTTAAATGTATTCGGCATCTATCCTGGACTTACACTATGACACAAAAGTTACAAACTATTCTTAAATTAAATCAAAATTAAAAACCTTACAGGTACACAGCTCGAATGTTCATTCGATAAATTGTTTGAACTACATACAAAATTATAAGTTTTATTTTTTTTTATCATAATATTATAGGTCCTACGCGGGTTTCACCCAACGGATTGTCTTTGGTAACAATTAGGTATTTTATTTAAAAACTTACGCCTTGGACTTTCAGATGATAGGCCTTACAAAATATTTATTCGTTTTACGTATTTTAGAAATAAACGTTTTAAATTAATAATCATTTTTTAAATTCCGAATGGAATTACACTCAAGTGTCAATAAATTAGAAACTATTTGATTTTTTTTTATGTATGATATGCTATAAAGATATTAATTTAAACCGACGGTATTTCACCGACTTGGTAATTACTGTTAATAAGTTCACATCTTATTTTAGAATCAACGAGCAAATCAACTTTAAAACAAATAAAACATAATGCGATATAGGTATCCACAACAGGCTTTGCATTTAGGTACTCGGCATAGCTGCAGTTTCAGCTTAAACACTCTAGGAGTTGGCCGTTCTCTCTTACATCATTCCAGTCTCCATTACTTCAGTCTCAGAGTTTGACTCGGCACGGTGTGCACTTACTCACGGTGGTAACATTACACAATATTATTTTACCCTATCACACATTCATCACATTGTAACAACCTTAGTCGAAAGTCGTCAGTCAGATAAAATCATGAGACGATATAAGCATGACCTGTAAATAGGGTCATAGAACATAAACATTCCACGTTGTAGGCACGTCTGTCACGTAACTAATAAATTAATTAACATTGAAATAAATTATTTTAATTACCAAATCGAGTTACACTCAATAAACTAAACAATTTTTGGTTGTTACAGGTATTCCTAAAGTTAAAGTGAGTCATGTTACAAATTATACAAAAATAACTGCAGTACCTATTTAGTTAGGCGTAGGTAATATTATTACTGTAACAAAATAAATACATTAAATTCACGTTAATTATATAATATTAATATAATATATATCTGCCAATAAGCAAAATTAAATTCGGATTTCCTCGTAAACAGTAAAATAATGCAATAATAGACTCGTCCACGTAGGTACTAATTGATAATTCACATAAAATCGGAAAAAGCCAAATACCTGTATAAAAATATTGTTAATAAAGATCATTTATTAAAGAAGTATCGAAACATATATCCTCTGGAGTCCACAGATAAGCCTGACGTACACTTGTAGCGTACACGACATATTACGACGAATGGTAATCTATGTATAAGAATTCAAATCCGAATCACAATTTTAATTCGTGCACATATAATGTCGTTTTATTCTGGTAAAAATTACCTGAAAATAATAAAAACAAGTTAAAATTTCTAGAGTATTTCTAAACTAAATTTTAAACAATGTCTACCTGTGGATATAAATGTGAGTCTACACACAGATAAATACCTACATACATAACATTTCTTCACGCCTTTTATCCCCGAAGGGGTAGACAGAGGTGCACATTATGCCACTGTACAATGTAACACCCACTTTTCACTATTATTTATATCATGACTCCCATGCCTATTGCCATGTACCAGGCACAATTCCAGACTCCGTGCTTACTACTGAGAATCGGCCAACGAGGCAGTCATTTTTCATCAATACTAATTTTCTTAACCATTAAACCTATTTGATTGAAATTCGGTTCAACGAGAGTGAGAAACTGGAAAAGAAATCTCACGGGACAGGTACTATGCGTTAAAATTCCGGGACTCTCTATTGCTTATACCACTGAACCTATTTGAGTGCAATTCGGTATAACGATAGTTTGAGACTCGGAAAACGACGCCTGAAAGTTTTCAATTACTGTACCTATTTGATTGGATTTCAAATGGTGATTTAATCTCTGAAACCTCACGGAAATGCTATACGAGTAAAATGCCAGTGGGATTGTTTTACTAACTAAATTGATTCTGATGAAATTTGTTACAAAATCCAAAAAATGCCAGAAGTTATTATTATACGCGGACGAAGTCGTTGTAAGGTGTATTATTCGAAACATTTCAAAAGATAGTATAATTTTCTGCGTTTTCTCTTTTTTGTAACCACCTAAACTTGATTGGGTTACCACGGTCATTCACTTCCTAATAAAGTCATTAGGAAGTGAATGAATCGTATTATCGCATCGTATTATCGAATCGTATTATCTCATTAATCATCCAATGTATTGAGCTGAAATTCTACTGATATACAACTAAACTAAAAAACTAATTATTGACATAGCATTTAGTTCATAATTAACCAATCCAGTGGCCAAATAACACCACAATATATGTATCATAACTGGTTAAATACTTAGAGGATACTAATGAAACTTCACATACATTTGAAGGCAGTTACAAGGTTTAAAGTAAGTCTTTAGAGCTCTTATTGAGAGTGCTGGGACTAATTTAAGTGTTTTTCTATTTAATGGAATAACCTTTAATCTATATATGATTTTGGTTTTTTTATTGCAGAACAAATTTAAACTAATTCCTAAGAAGCCACGAACAAGAGATGATAAGAAACCGATGTGATAACCCACCATAACCATTTTTTATCCTTTACTATCAATGGTTATTTACGAAGTGATTTTAAACAATACAGCATTATAATCCTTATCCAATTAAGTACTTTAAATAAATTGTGCATTTATCATAGATCAATATGCTTTTTACAACATGTAATTTAAGTGAATATTTCCGAAGATATTACAAATTTAAAATGCAGGGACGTATTTGTAGCGGCGTTGATAGTCGCGCTTCGTCCTAGAGCACTTCATGATTTGCAGCGATCGCACGCCTTTATCGGAGCTCTCTAGCGAGGTAAATATCAATATAAAACATGTTTGTATTGTCTAATGACAAAATAACTGTGAAAGTGGTGCATGAGGACATTTTGTAGAGGGTATTTTTACATAAGTATTGCACCCGTGCGAAGCCAGGGTGGGTCGCTAGTTAATAATATAAAACTTGTTATTCCTTACCGACTAGTTGTCCGGGCCTAGATCGTCTTCGAAGTTTCTCCCCTACGTTCACATACTTAATCACTGAGTTCAACGACATTTTCGTCTTCTGGTCTTTCCTCGTCATAAATTATGATTACAGGGCCTTCAGATGAACGGTTTACATATGCTGACATTTCTCCATCTGGTATGTAACTTGTTTGCCCTGCCGATGAATCCCTGACAGGCGTCGGATTAGCCAGCTCTGTGCCGGAGGCCGTAGGCCCTGGATGAGCAGATGGTAATCCAGATGCAAGGCCTTGGTGGTTATGTGTTGTTGATAAATCTCTAACAGGCTTCAGATTAGGCCATATGGGCCCAGAGCTTAAATCTGGATGAGCAGATGGTGATCCAGCTGCAAGGCCTTGGTGGACAAGTGTTGTTGATAAGCCTCTAGCAGGCGTCGGATTAGCCAGCTCTGTGCCGGAGGCCGTAGGCCCTGGATGAGCAGATGGTAATTCAGATGCAAGGCCTTGGTGGTCATGTGTTGTTGATAAATCTCTAACAGGCGTCAGATTAGGCCATACGGGCCCAGAGCTTAAATCTGGATGAGCAGATGGTAATCCAGCTGCAAAGCCTTGGTGGAAAAGTGTTGTTGATAAGCCTCTAACAGGCGTCAGATTATCACGCAGTGTACCCGAGATCGACGCTCGATGAGCAGATGGTGATCCAGCTGCAAGGCCTTGGTGGACAAGTGTTGTTGATAAGTCTCTAACAGGCGTCGGATTATCACGCGCTGTTGCAGAGTTAGACCCTTGATGAGCAGATGGTGATCCAGCTGCAAGGCCTTGGTGGACAAGTGTTGTTGATAAGTCTCTAACCGGCGTCGGATTATCTGTCGTTGTGCCAGAAGTAGACTCTTGATGAGCAAATGCTAATCCAGCTGCAAGGGCTTCGCGGACGAGTGCTGTTAAAAAACGTCTAACATGCGTCAGATTATCACGCCTTGACCCGGAGCTAGGACCTGGATGATCCAATGCTAATCCATTTACAAGGACTTCTTGGACAAATGTTGTTGTTAGTTCTCCCATAGGCGTTGGATTATCAGGCATTGTTTCGGATATAAGGACAGGTGTTGGTAACGATGTTTCACTAACGGAGACAGGAGCGTCGGTCGGAGGGCGCGGAGGAGGAAATACTGTCACGTATTCATCTATGCCGCCAGCTCGTATTCTTATAATAGGTCCCTGGTAGGGAGATTGGCTATCAGATTGAGAAATTCGAACAATAACAGGAATATCACCTAGACCTTCGCTGTCATATGGGTTAGCTGGAATAAAATGAACACTAATAGGAGTCGTGATTGGGTTGATACTCGGAGATGGAGAATAATTATCTCTAAGAGGAGGAGGGGAAGTATCTCTCTCAAGGGCACTAGTTGGGGGATAAAGAGATACTGGTCTTACCGGAGAGCTTGGTCTGTCCAACGAATGCATACGAACAGGAATTGAGTGATCATGTAGATCGCGCATAGGGGGCAAATCTGGAGGCGCTAACGGCACGATCATGCCTAGTATAGGCCGCGACGTGTACATTTGAGATCCGACAAAGTGGCTTTCTCTTTGCCCATCTTGATTGGTTTGTCTATCTGAGTCAGTCGGTCTGTAAATCGAATGAGGTTGGCTCGATGTGTTATCTGTTCGAGGTCTTGGAACAGCAGATGAAGTGCCAGGCATATTCATATATTCGTGATCTGATATCGGGGGTGTTGGTGGTCTGTTCCTCCGAATATGGTACACGTATCTGGTTTTGTCCTAAACAAATATAAAAAAACACGATTAAAAAAATCCCCAAAAGTACGGTAACGCACTTGTAACGCCTCTGGTGTTCCAGGTGTCCATGGGCGACGCCGATTGCTTACCATCAGGTGATCCGTCTGCTCGATTACCGGCTTATGCTATAGAAAAAAAATTGGTTAATAAGATTTATATTGTAGGTACCTGACTCTATGTTCCACCAAATATTCAATTTTTAACACCACTTTTAACAAGCTGATAAGTTTTCTATTCAGTAGGTACTTACATACAATATCGTATAAGTAAAAAAAAAATTTCTTATTTGATTAGCAAATTACGTTAATGTAATACAATAATTAGTATAGACATATACCTTTCTTGGCGGTCTCTCCTTAAAAATCTTCTGCAAGCGTATAATTTTGCCCCAAGAGCCGGCACCGAACCTTCCGACATCACGCCACCGCACCAAATATTTGACCTGAAATATATTTAATAAATAAATTATTACTTTAAGGAAGTGCTTCGCATCAAGCTTTTTTGTGCCTGCTGCTAAGGAGTGGAATCGTTTGCCAGAGTTTGTATTTCCTGAAGGTCACCCTTGTTTGTTCGAAAAACGTTTGTATATATTTTGTAACTATTCTATATTCCGTGCTATATGTTACAAACATGTCAACATGACCTGTGTGGACGTTACAGCAGCTTATTCCCAAGTCAGACTATTATCTATGTAGTCTTTTACTTTATAAAAAGCTTTACTATAAAATTTATCTTTAATGACATTTTTAAATTTATTTAGACTCAATTTGGATATGGCTGGGAATTTTATTGTAAAAGCGTATACTCTGACATCTAAACAAACCACATATTTTCTTTAGTCTAGGAACAACATTGTCTTTATTTCTCGTGTTGATATTATGTATATCACTATGCTTTTTAAATAAACTTTTGTTTTTATGAGCATATACTACATTTCCATAAATGTATTGAGAGGCAACAGTCATTATATTAATTTCTTTAAATAGTTCCCTGAGAGAGTACCTCGGACTAAGATTATAAATTAATCGAATGGATCTCTCCTGCAGAACAAAGATAGATTGAATGTCAGCAGCATTCCCCCAAGAGAATACCATATGACATCACACTATAAAAATAACTCCACACCGAAGCTTGTTGACTAGTTTGCATGTCAAACTCGTAAACCTACGTCTCGTCACCAGTAACAAGGCGTTTCATGAATGTTGGGTCCGAACTGACTCGTTCTAGCATGTCCTCAGTGACTTTCATGCGATTGAGTTTTTGGAGAAAATTCAGATCTTTTGGGACTAGCCGAGCAGCAACATGTTTCATACCCAAATTATTATTTAAAATGGTACTGATCGACTCGTGGGATGCAGAAAGTTCGGCGGCTATCTCTCTTACCGTCTTATTACAAAAGTTCGACTTAGTACTGGTTTAAACCCGGACTATAAGATCTAGATTTGTTACGGTATTAAAGCTAGTACCAGGACTAAAATTTGTTCCAATTATAAAACTAAGACTATTCGGGGATCAGCTAGTACCAAAGAAAGTCCATAGTCCCACAGATAAAAAACATAAATAGCATTCTTTCATTCGTTCTTATAAGAAGGCGGCAGAGCATGAATCACGAAACAAATATTGAGTCTTATTTATTATATAAATATTATTGTTTATTGTGACTAACTGGAACTGAACTATTGAACAATAACTGTACTTGTATCGAAAGTCTTCGTCACTCAAGTCAAAGGGATTTACACGATGGCGATGTCTGTATGATCGCCAAGACGTCTCTAACATGTCCAAATCTTCCAAATCTTTTAAATCCATAACATTAATCGGTTCAATATCCATTTTACAATTATGATAATATAGAATATACACGTAAATATTTCTGATAGCTAACCTCAAATAACTTTAGTACCGAAGTTAAACTAGGGGTCTCGGCGGTTTAACTTTAGTACCATAGATAGTTCCGGAACTAGTGATAAACTTTGTTTTATAATAACGTTTTATTTAGTCATGGTTTAAACCTAGTTTTAATCCTGCTACTAAAAATAGATCGGGTTTTGTAATAAGACGATTAGAGTTGAATGGGAATTTTCAGTCACTATTTCCTTCACTTTTGCGATGTTGACTTCAGTTACAGACGTTGACGGTTTACCAGAGCGAGGCAAATCTTCCATCACATCTCAACCGCTTTTGAACGCTTTGAACCACTCATAAACACGAGTTTTTGATAAAGTCGATTCACCGTAAGCCTTCTGTAACATTTTCAGTGACTCCGAACACGAAATTCTATTGGCGATGCAAAATTTATGACAAACTCATTGTTACATATTTTTGTGCATTATGAAATTCACAATACACACTATATATGATATTACTAAAACAAGCACTATATTTAATATAAATAACAGATGCAACTCAAACTCCGCGCCAAAATGGAAAACTGTTGTGCCAATCTAACAACTAGATACAAAAAAAAACTAAATGACAATGTCTGATCCTGACCCAGTCATACTATAATTTACAACAAAAGAAATTGATGATAATAATTTTGACGAATAAGGAACTTTTTCACTATAAATCTTTTTATTTTTAAACTTGCGGTTTACAATTTCATAAAAAAAAGAAGTTCAATCCCGGAAATACTTTTTTGCAATGCGCATTCTATTTGTCGAATGACTATGTAGGATATAGCTAAGGTACAAGATAATATACATAACAAATACTTACATAAATAAAACATACACACATACACTCACATTCATACCGACACTTCTTACACTTAAAACTTTACAACATTTGTACACGGCCTTATGCTTCCGCACGTTCGTACACACCCTTAGCTATACCTACACACGGCCCGGCCGCTTTTTTTTTTTTTAAGGGGGGAAAATCATCGAATGACTGCCCCCGCCTGGGTGAGGCGGGAGGGAGTGTCAGACTCTTACTGACTAAAAACCACCCCGTTCCTTCTCCTGCACGTCGAGCCGGAGCCCCGGTTACCCGTTAGGTTCTCCGCGACTCCGAATCGGCATCGGCCCTATTGGGCCCCATCTGTGGTGGTCTGATGGCTCTTTGAGGCGCGCGCGGAACGCGACGCGCCGTACGCTCGGGTCTGTTTCTGGTCGGACGGGGAGCCACCCATGCTCGCCGTCCGCAGGCCCGCGCTTACGGTGGCCGGAGATCGTCCCGCGATCCCCGACGCCCGGTGTGTCCTTCGCGATGGCTGGGTTGCGAGGAGGCAGCGCTTCGCTGCCTCACGCGTCCCGCCTCCTCCTTAGCTAGCATGACTGCTTCGCAAAAGGAGGAGACGGCATCCCAATCCCCCTCGCTCCGCATCATGGCCTGCACTAGGCCCGGACGCGAGAGGTCGCCATCGCCGATCACTTCCCTGAGGACACGGCGGTGCTCAGCCCACGAAGGGCATTCTATTCTCCCACCGTGTGTTCCACCGACGGCCCGGCCGCTAGCAGAGCCCCGGCCCGCGTTGATGGACTCGGACGCCTCGCGTGTTTGCGGAGCCGCCCGCTCGACACATCGAGCGCTGTCGTCGCCGTCGCCTCCCTGCGCTCAACCCGCACGCGCCCCCTCGCTGGCCCACACACTCCGCCACGGCTAGCGATCGCGCGCGCATCGAAATTCGAAATCACGAAAATCTCTTGTCGCTTTGTATAATTATTGATACTCATTTCTTATTTCTAATATAGTTTATTTATAACGCTAGTGCGTTGGTTTTATTTATCTGAATAAACCTAATAGACACTACAACTATTTGCGTTACATCATACGCATCGCTTGTACGAAACTATGAAAATAAAAAAGTAAGTAACTGTAAAAAGATACATAAAATATTATGTCAATAGTATAATTCTGAATAACATTTATTCATTTATTAATAATTACAGATGAAATTGCAAACAATCACGAAAATAAAAAATTACTATCATTAGTTATGATTTTTTTGTGTAACGAAACGTATTGAAGCGCTCGTCAGCTGTCAGTGTCAATATTATCTTTCATTCGCTGTCCGAGTTTCCGTTGTTTTCGCGTTATTATTTCAGAACAAATGTTTAGGTATCTATCTGTAATTAATACACAACACCACAACACGATGCTGAATACTGCATGCTACATGAGTTCTAATATAGTGGATCAAAGATGTACTGACCACCTGGCATTGTCATTTGAATTTGGAACGATATACCTACAAATCATGCATTCCCGATACTTTTTTGACTGAATGTATATACGTTATACGTTCACAAAGAGAGTCCCGAGTGGCTAGCACGAAAACTAACGAGAAAGTATTCGTATCGACATCGAAAGCATTTTCTATGGGATTTGTACAGCGCCCCTACCGTGCGTAAAAGGAACTACACGACGCAAGCACGAATGATTTTGACAACTATCGTATCGTAATCGTATCGTGTTGCTATCGAAACTTAGAACATTTTGACATAAATTGGAAGCACGAACGATCTTTTGACAAACGGTAACGTAAATTTCGAAGGCTGGCTATCGAAAACTGTCAACACATTTGTCACTTAGAATTTGCCGGTGAGAAAGGTTTCGAAACATTTTAAAATTAAGATTTTGTGACAATTATAAATTAAAATGAACTAAAACAAGTAGTGTGCGTATGAAATGATTCATCAACATCAATGTTTTCGGGAAACATGGCAATAATGATGCAGAGAATGCCACTCGTTGTTAAGTTTGTCGTCGTGGATGGATAACCATTAACAATATTTTTAGACGATTGAAAAACCGATGGTGTTGTTTGTGCAAGGAACATACTCCACTACGCCACCGAAAATTGTGCTAATAGCAATAACAGCTTAAGTAGTTGTGTTACAAATTTTTGCCATATATTTTGATATAGGTACCCAAACCTCAAGCACTATAAACTTTTATATGCCTCATATACTTATCTTTCTTTGAACATGCATTATATAGGATAGGATAGATAGATGAGATAACTTAATACAAGTTAGCTATAACGCAATTTCGACTGTCCAAAGTATAGAAATCCTTCACCGGGCTAGGTATTTAATGTTATCATAAATTACCTAGATCTTAATAAAGGAAACTTATATTTAAAGTGAATTGTGTAAACAGAATTTTCATTGCTTGATCTAGGTTTATGCAACTTTTGTTTCAAGTCATCACTTTATCATAAATCAGTATAATTTATATTCTGCAAATATTCTGTCAATATGTTACTAAGTATATTTCATAAGAGATAGACTGTATGTATTTAAAGACAAATTTTATTGTACAAAGAGATTCAAGAAAAAAATTAAATCTAGTACTATAATGTACATGTTTAATTTGTTTCATTGTATTCCACATGAAGACATGTATAGGAGCACCATGTCAGCACCATTATATTTCATTATCTTTTCTCACACTTCCTAGCATCATCACTTGTTTATTATCAAGTTGCAAGAACAA